TTTGAGGCTGTAAGGAGTCCTTTATCATGAAGGAACACACAGACATTGGAAGAAGATTCAGACTTTTCCCATACTTGAGCGTTTTCCACAGTCCCAATAAAAGCATGATGGTATTTAGTAAATCTGGAGTCCACGAGTAATTCTAGCCGAAATTGGAAGATCTTTTCTTTCATAAAAAGGTTCACAGCAGAAAGATAGCTCCAAAACAGAGATGTGTGTATCCTTGGATATCCTTGTGTAATCCATACTCTAGTAAATTCAGAAGGGATTTCCAAAATGACGCTATTTTGGTTAAGTAAATGGAATAGGACACTAGTCAGATTTGGTAGACTGGACTTAGCAGGGAAATTTGGAAAAGATAGAGCCACCGGAGAGGGTGCAGAGGAGTTGTTTGATGTATGTGAAGAAATAGACAAGGAAGAAGAAACGATGGTTGCTCAAGAAGATGCTAAAATGGAAATCAATGGAGATATCACACCTAATAATGCTGGCTCACCTGAATTTATTTGCTAACCTACTTGAGATACTACTGCACAAACAAGAAAGAAAACTGAAGGGAATGGAAATAAAAGGAGAAAGCTGTTGATGTTGTTATGACAATTTTAGTGTTGGTACTGGGAAAGATTAGCATTGCATTTGAAAGAGCTAGAGAGGAATTCAAGCTGAATGCAAGCATTTTTGAAAAAGAAAGTTCAAGGAGATGAGAGATGCATGGCTTTTTCCGATGAGATTATGAAGAAGACATGTTGACTGCTAGCAAGATTTGAAGAAAGATAAGTCAAAGATTGAGTTCTTGTTCACCTTGCCTTCACAATTGAAGAAGAAAATTGGCATGAAGCTGCTTGGGAGCACTCCTACACACAGATACAAACCATCATTTGATTTTGATATTTAACTTCTAAAGTGATTTTGGATCTTGTTCTTGAGATGTGAACCCAGGCACTTTTGGCCGTCATCTCAGGAGTTTGAATAAATATTTAATTGGACTTGGAGCACTTTCTGTGGAAATTTTCATTGTTTTATGGATACTTTTGGCTAAATGATGTTGAATTATTGGCTATAGAAAAGACAATGGTTGTCTCACAGAACATGTCATCTATTGGCCGTTATAGGAACATGTTAATGACTTGACTGGCTAGTTTAGGGAATTAAACTCATCAAACTTGGTTCATGCCTTGCACCCATAGAACGATGGATTGTTACTTTACAACTTGTCCATTCAATATCCATATTCTGATCATCAACTCAGATATATTAGATCCAGTTGCATTTTATTGGAATTGAGAATTGAAACTGTTGCTTTCCTTCCCATCCTTATTACTTATAATAAGGTTATTTCGAGTATTTTTGCACTCCTTAATCTTTTTTTCTATGCAATACCAAACACAATTATTTAAGATCAGCTGTTCATAACAATATTACACCAAACATGGGAATCTAGGGTCACTAATGATCAGATCACCACGGTAATCTTGAAAGTGATACCAAACGCTACCTCAGGCTCTTGGGTTCAATTAGTGTCAGACAGGTGTATGGGCACTCTGGTGTACTCCCTGTAGGCTCACGGTTTGGCTTATCTTCCCAACCAATTGCTATTAGAGCAAAAGATTTGACTTGGATTCAACGAGTTTGTTGATGCAATGTTTCTCAAATGTGAAGGTGAGTGCATTGAGACAACTTAGATGTAGGGAAATGTGTGGTTGAATGCTAGCCTAAGGTGCATCAATAGCAATGAATCAAAGCAATGGTGGTGCACTAGGGACAACTTGGACACAAGGGGATGTGCATGGTTGAGTGCTAGCATAAGGGTGCATGGGTAGCTGAGAGAAACAACGTGGTTTACTTGCACAAGGGAGCTGAACGCAACTCACAGGTGAACGTAGGAGATTTGTTGAGGGCTACATGTGAGTGCATTGTGCCAAATCAAACAGAAGGATGTAAAAGTGGCATATGCAAAAGGAGGATTCCAAGAACCCATTAGGTTAGGATTTGAGTAAGTGCTGCCCATTACATATGTATCAGCCCTTTGGTGTGCTTTCCATGGCCTCGAGGTTTGGCTATTTTCTCAAAGTCCACTAAATCAAACTCAAATGTGCCACTTTTTTCCCAATAGACCTATATGTCCTATGGTATTTTGGTCACCTCAATAACATTGGAATAGAAATCTATTTAACAGTTGTCTAAAAGCTTAAAATACTTGGAAGACATTTCCAAAGCATTTCAACCAACCACAGCTGCCAGGGAACACATAGCAACCTTTCTCATATAGCTCAGGCCAATTTTTGTAGTGATGGTTGAACCAATCACAATTGCTAAAGAATGCTGCTTATCTTTGTGATTATGATGCAAACTATGACTACATGAATCTCAACAAAATTATCAAAAAAAATTATGCCACCTAGATGCAAGGGAATTTTATTGATATTTAAAAATGTGCTTTGTTCTTATTGTGTAAGATAAGGACATTGTGTCTATACTTTTACTCTTATGAAAACTTATTTTGCATGGACAGCCTTACCTAAAGATGTCTGCCCAATGTGCTTTGTAATAATGTTCTTTTTCCATCTTCTCCAAAGTCCTTCTACAAAGAACTTTGTAAGAGAAGTATAGGCAGAGAACCCCATGGTAATAAAATTACAATGAGCTTTGGTTTGCTTCCATGGCCTCAAGGTTTGGCTATTTCCCAAAGTCCACGTAGTTAAATCCGAAAGTACCACTTTCTTCCCAATAGAACTTCTATGTTTCCTACGGTATTTCTGTCGCCTCGATAACATTAGAATAGAAATCTATTTAACAACTTTGCTAAAAGTTTTAGAGTACTTAGAAGACATTTCCAAAGCATATCAACCAACCACAGCTGCCATGGAACACATAGCAACCTTTCTCACGTAGCTTGGACTCGTTTTTGTAGTGATGGTTCAACCAACCACAATTGCTAAAAAATGCTGGTTATCTTCCTGATTATGACCCAAGCTATGATTACACGAATCACTCATAGTAACAAACTTATCACAAAAAATAAGCCAGCTTGATGCAAGAGAACTTTATTAATATTTTAAAACAGAGCTTTTATCATGTAAGATAAGGACGTTGTGTCTATACTTTTACTTTTATAAAAACTGATTTTGCATGGACAGCTTCAGCTAAAGAAGTGTGCCCAATGTGCTTTTTGTTGTGGTTGTGTGATGCAATCAACCTTAGGTGCCACTCCTGAAGAATCCTAGTGTGAACTTTAGCGATCTTTTCTCTTATTTTTCTCTTTCCTCTATTCAACTTTCCCTTGTTTTCTTAAGTATTCATATCAGAAAATTGCTTTAAACCCTAACTTCCTAGAGGTCCTACATTAATTTGTGCATGTCTCTAGCATATGTAATGCTGCCAATTAGTTTTGAAATTATTTAAAGAATAACATGTAATATCTATTTTCAAATTTTGTTATGTCAAGCAGCAACAACAAAGTTTACCACAAAATAACAATAGTAATAATAAAAGGATTCACCTTATCAACAATATTTTCAAAGGGTTTGGATAGGAAAAAAGTTTTAAGTTGCAACATAAGTATCCAGGAAGATGCTTTACTTCATTTCAGATTATATTCTTGGTGAATATGGAGCTTATAGAAAATTTTTAAAAATAAAATTAAGTTTGCATAGACCTTACTACCATTTGCTTTGGGTAGCCTTGCAATGAAGTAAGCATTAACTTAAGCCAGACCACCAAGCCATCATGTTGGGCAATATGATAAGTACCAGACAACCTAAAAACCATCAGCTAAAACGATGCAACCTTGCCTTAAGAAAATGCCCTGTCAAAACATAGTGAGTACAAGGAAGATTTTGTAACCCATAACTTCATTGTAATTCAATAAAAAGATGGTCAAATGACTCTGCCGTAATTTAATATTATTAATGGCTTACATTTTTGTAACATTGCATCCAGATTACAGGCCTTTTACTTTAAAATAAACTCATATTTATTATTAAAATTGCTAGGGATTATGTTTTATAACTAAAACATTATATTATAAGGTAATTTAAAGGAAGTAAGCAGCCCTAAAGTTTTTTCCAATCATTACAGCATTCGTTCTTTTCTTCTAAAAAATTTTCACTGTCAATATACAAGGAAAGGATAAAGTCTTCCACTTCGAGAAACCAGAAAATAACAGGATTTGAATAAATCCAATAACTTTCTGTAGGGGAACCGAAAAACAGGTCCAATAAAAGTAATAGAAAAAGGACAAATGAACTACAATAATGCTATATCCTCACTCAAAAGCAATTCACAAAACGCAGAACACACCATTCAACTGAAAGAGACAGCAGCAAACATTTGCAACAGACAACTAGGATAGAAGCATAGAAAAATAAACTTGCACTCTTATTGGATAAGCAAGCAATTGTATGAATCATATTGTCAAAAAATGAAGTGTAATTGTCCACTGTAACAGACATAAGCTGATTAACCATGCAATAAACCATTCATAAGCTCACCATAACAGCAGTTTGAACATTTCCAATTCGGTATAAACAAAAGGATGGAATCCACTATCATATTTAAGCTTCACGCATCCATTATATTGTAGATAAATTAACAATAAAAAACAAATCCTACAGGTTGCATCCTTTCAAGAGCTAGAATCACCTCTGTTTATAATCCTAAAATTTTGAAGGAACAAGAAACGTTCATTTGCTTCACAAACTGAGAATTTCTAAACACAAAAGCCTCGGTGATCTAACAAGAAATATTCATCCTTCCTGCCCTCAAATGCCCGTGATATTTCATATAACGCGAAATTTTTTGCCAGGAAATTAAAAAAGTACGAAAAAAAGAAAAAACTGGAGAGCTTTCTCAGCATCAAGAAAAAAGAAAGTTAAAACCTAATTCAAAAGTGGCAAATTTGGGGCTAAAACCACGCGAACCCATGAAAGTTGAGATAAAAACAACTAAAACCACATATCAAAAGGCAGCAAAAAGGTTCAAACATATAAAGTTAAACTAACCTTTCTTGCCCAGCTGTGTCCCAAATCTGAGCCTTGATGACCTTGCCATCAATATTCAAACTCTTAGTAGCAAACTCAACCCCGATAGTAGACTTAGACTCCAGATTGAATTCATTTCTTGTAAACCTCGAAAGCAAGTTGGATTTACCAACACCAGAATCACCAATCAGAACAAGCTTGAACAAGTAATCATAGTCATCTTCGGGTTTGTACCCAGCCATGAAAGAGAGAAAGAGAGAGGCGAGTTTGGTTTTTGCACAACAGCTTGAAAGTGGAGAGCCAAAGGACTGTTGTCGGGCTGGCTGGAATCCAGGGGAAGTGTAAGTAAACCTGTAACGGATTACCTAAGTTTTTTCCCAAAGTAAGGTATTTATAATAAATCTTTATATTCCCAAAGCAACACTTCCACATAAGCCTAAAATAACACTACATTTTTTCTTTATTTCACAAATTTCCCTTCACTTTTTCCCATCACCTCCTCTGTCCTCACCAACCCACTGCCGCACCTTTCATCATACCGCCGGTCAGTCGACTGCAACATTAGCCACCAGTAGCTGGCTTCGCCTTCCCTTAATTTACTCTCAATCTAGCACATTCGATCCACGGTCAAACACACCCACTCTTTTTCCCTCTCTATATTTCCAGTACTTGTATGGGGCCTCGAAATTTTAAATGTGAGTTCAAAAAATCATACATTCCGCACAATTATGTTTTGAAAAACTAGAAGTTTGGTTATCATATCTAATCTTTATGTACACGTAAGATAACTAATTTTGTATAAGAATTGGGAATAATCCATTCAACAAATATTTCATCACACATTCAATTATAACAATTTAGTCTCTATATTACATGAATATATCAAATTTAAGTCTTCTTCTATTATTTATACAAATTGAGTTTACTTACTTTCATTAATTGTTAATTTTGGTTCAATCCTTGATATTGATAGAAGTTCTATCTGTAATATGTTCATACCACATTGACCATGTTTCTAGATATGGACATGACTTTTAGTAAAAACCATTTTAAATTTTTAAAATTCTAAAAAAAGTTATAAAAAATACATAAATAATTTTATATTTTTCAAATATTGTAAAAAATTGAGAAAATTGGAAATAAATTTTATGCTAAAAAATCCCAAAAATAGAAATAATTTTTGTTTATTAAAAAATTTTGAGAAATTTAAAAAAATGAAAAATATTTCTTTTTCAAATTCTAAAAAACCCAAATAATTTTATTTTTTTAACAACAAAAGCTTGAAACATTAAAAAATTGACTAGTAGTGGTTTGACTCAACCTTTTAATGAACAATGTTAATAGTGTAGTTATCAGCCCTTTTATCTTCTAATATCTGGACAAGACTTGGAGTATGGTGTAGTGTTTACTCAAATTTTGTTTATGTCATTTTAGCACTTGAATATATAATCAAACTCATTAGGAGGATGCAGACAAACTCCTTGGCTGACATCTCTAACTACATTGGCCAAGGAGTTCCATGAGTTATCACAATTCAAGTTGTAAATGGGATATTTCCCTTCAATTCACTTGACTTAATAAATCCTTAATCGATCATTGAATTACCTTCTTGTATCTCTTACTATTCCCAATGTCAATCCTTCTTGAGCATGTTTAGCTTAAACCACTTTAGACAATGTCAAAAAATAGCATTCCATGTAACAGGTAATCTAATGACCTCAAGTTAAATGATCTTCTGCATAACTATCATGTGAAAGTTTTTTTATAAACGCTTAACGAAAATATCAAATAAAATTCTCATAATGAGTCATGGTTAGTTGTAACACCCTCAACTTTGATACAGATTATGTTGATGTTAAGCTATTTGATGAGTTAATTTAATGCATGTGTATATGAACTCAAAGGTATGTGTATGTTTGTGGAGAGTGACTTCAAATTTTGGCATGTTTGAGGAATTTTTGGATGATGTTATATACATTTAACTCTATAAGAGTATGAACTATGACACTTAGGCAAAAACATTGAAAATTTGGGGTTGCGGTTGATTTGAGGTTGAATGTTGACAATGTGAGGTATGCTTGTTGAATCATGATAATTTAGTAAAGTGGATATGAGTTGGAAAGCTTAGAAATGGAGTTAAAAGGTTGAAAAATCAAGTTAATTTGACTTTTGGTGAAAGTGTTCTACTTTAGGATTGACTATGGAGAGGTTGTAGTTGACCCTAGGATAACAAGGTTGCAAAAACGAGCATTCTGTGTTAGGGTTGACTACATGGAAACCATAGTCGACCTTCAACTATCCAACTCAGCAAGTTTGGCTAGTTTTGAATGGACATAGTTGACTCCCTTTGAACATGTAGTTGACTCCTGCAAAATTTGCACTATATATATATATATATATATATATAAGACTTTAGGCATTCCACCCATTTGGAAAACTCAAGGAAAGGAAGCTCTTTTCTCTACCTTTGAAACCCTAAGTCCCCTATTGAAGATTAGAGCTCATTTGGAGTATTTTGGAGTTTGACAAATGCAAAGTTAGGTAAAATTAAGCCACTTAACTATTTTGGATGCATTTTAATCGATTTGTAATGCTAGATTGGCTTTTATTCCAATTGGGTTACATTTTCCCTTAAGTTGGTGAATTGGTGAGCTTGAAATCAATTTGAAAAGGCACTTAAGGTAAGCATTTGAGTATTATAAACTTGGAAAGTGAAGTAGATGGGAGTTAGGTTAAGTTTAGTGCTGGAAATATATTTGAATGCAAAGAAATGGTTGTTTGGTTTTGTGATAAGGAGGATATTAGTGTACTACGCTCAATGCAATAAATACCAAGAAAAGGTGAATTAGTATTTTAAAATTTTCTTTTACAAGCTTAATAAAAATAATCCATTTTTGAAAAACAAATTTTCTTCTTGTGTCAAAACCAAAGCAAGTGATTTTTCTTAGTTACTGTAGAAGTCTCAATAAGCAATATACCAAGAGAGGGGGTGAATTTGTATTTAAAAATACTTTTGAAAATTAAGTGTAAAAATCAAGACTTTTGCAATCAAAAATTTCTTCTTATGTCAAAAACAAAATGTGTGATTTTCCTAAGCAAGTTTTCAATAATAAATATAAAAGAACAAATAATAAATCAAGGTAAAATATTTTCCTAAGTCAAATGCAAGTAAAACATAAATAATGAATCAAGGTAAAATATTTTCCTAAGCTAAATGTAAGAAATAAATCACAATGCGGAAAAATTAAAAGTAAGGTACAGCATTTATAGTGGTTCGACTTTTCAAATGCCTACATCCTCTCTTTTGACAACCAAGGAATTTCCAATCCACTAAAAAAGATTCTTGCTTTTCAACAAAATTCTTAATGGAATAAGCTTAATGTGAATAGTTTCGAGATGAAAGAGAATTAGAAAATTTAAAATATTTTAAAAATTTCTTTTCAATTTCAAGAAAATAAAGTTCCTTCAAGTCAAATCACCTTTTTGAGAATGAATAAGATAATGGATTTCTTATGAAATAAGAGAAGTTAGAAATACAAATGAGATTAAAAGAATAAGAGAAAATCAACACAATAGTTTTCATAAAGATTTGACCTCATTGCCTACGTCTTCTCCCTTAGATTCATTAAGAAATTTAAAATCTACTAACAAAATAAGATTTAATACAATGTCTTTTGTAGATCAAGTACAATCTTTCAATACAATGTTTTTTTAAAGTTAAAGTACAACCACTCTTCCTTTTACCTTAGTTAAGGTATAACCATTCAAACAATACCTTTTCAATCAATTAAGGTATAACCACTCAAGGAAATACAATAAAAACTATGAGTATAGCTATAATGGCTCTTAAAGGCTGAGTACCAAATTAAGTACAACGTTTATTGAAGAAGGAAATAAGCAATTGTTGTTGATTTCTCACGCAAGTGCACGTCTCGTTAACAAGTAATATAATAATGAAGTAGAGTATTGTTTCCATAAAGAATTATTTAATTCTTATTGTTAACTACTAATAATAGGTGTATGTCTACCCTATATGCAAATCAAATCACCTAATCAACTGAGTGCATTCCATCTTACGTTATTCTATTCAAGGTCTACCTAAATCTCCTTCGTCAAAGTTTAATCTAGGTTTCCAATTTAATCTAATTAGTGATTAGGCAATTAGAAGCATTAAGAATAGAATAAAATAAACAATCTTAAATCTATCAAATATAAGTAAAAGAGAAATAAATAATTGAGACTACATATTTAGTTCAATCGTAATCTTAGATTAACAATTTAGTTCCCCATCAAGTCATACATCATTATTAAATAAAGTTTAAACAACAAAAATAAACTAAAAAACAAAAGAATGATAAAAAGATAAACTCAAGAATTACAATCTTGATCTTCCAAGTCTTCTTGAATCCTTCATAATCTTCTCAGTTTCAGTAACTTTGTGGTTTGACTCTCAACTGTTAA